TAGGGACCTCGATTTAATTAAAGTCTCATCCGAAAGACTGATTAGTAATATTAGCTGGCTAGCCCGGGAATCGAACCCACAATGTCGAGATTACAAGTCTCGCGCTCTAACCGATTGAACTATGCGGGCTGGTTGGATGAAACAATATTTGCTCTTTTCCTTTATGTATATGGCGGCTAAACTGTGATCTGGTAAATTAAATGCATGTTACTGAGGTGAGGCTACTACCAACACCACCAACACTTCTCCCTTTTTGTATTTTTCGGCTAATTTTACATCCATACATATCCATGTACAGTTTTACCTTCATTGGTTTAAAGTTCAACACTATCATTTTTAGTTTATAAAGGGAGATAATAAAGGAGAAAAGTTTATAACTGATTCAATGCTAATTAAACTATCGACTAAATATTTATAGATTCTATATCATCAAAATCAGTGCATGGTATATCAAAGTCCTTTAATGTTTTATGCCGATACGAGTCTAAATATCGGCCACATTTCATATAGGGTCATTATGAACCTTTGTAGACCACCGTTATGTTCTTTCATTCCCTCAGATGCTTTTGTAACATCAACTTTAACCGAGATATTACTTTTTTATTATGAAACTTAATTGATCAGTTTATAGCAATTCAATAAAAGTTAATGGTCCAAACTTTGGCAACTGACAACCAATATAAATTTAGAATTAACAAGTTTAGATTATTGCCAGGTATGTACAGTAGTGACCTTCGGGTAACCGGTGTTTTATGGTCCCTATTACCTAAATCCCGCCGTAAACTGACCACAATAATATCAACATTGATTGTTATATTTTGATACAGTTTTATTTTTATATATTCATTTTAAGAAACGATAACTTTTTAAGACTTTTTTTCTACCGAACGTTTTACAGCTTTCTGTAAATATTGTATATATTCAAACGAATTTTACACCATCAGAAAAATGTTAAACTATTTATTTTTGCATTTATATATTTATTACAAATGTACTAGAATATAAGGAATATTTTATTATTTTCTTTATTATACTTAATAAAGGTATATTCGTTCTTTCGAGCATTGAGTCCAGCACTTTTAAGTGTTGAGAATTGAGTACCACCGCTCAAGCCGGTGCTAGGGGGCGTTAGGGATGTTGCACTTTTTCATTATCCCTCATGAACAGACTAAATCAAACAAAGTCTGCATTTTTATGTAATTTTACTATTTTAATGCTTCCGAAGGATCACTTTTTTCAGATAATTAAAAAAAGAAATGCTGACAGCCAAAAATCCCTTTATACAACATTTACAATGTTAAAGACAAAGGATTAAATTTTGAATCCATAAAAGGTTCATTTTTTGCGCCCCCTTTATCTGAATGCCTTATAAGTGAGAACAATTACGAACTTCCTTTGTAATGCTGGATATTAAGCAAATGGAAGCAACAATTACAGCTAACTGATGTCGATTTTATCATATGATGTATGGCCTGACTGTTTTGGGCAAGCTGATTTCATCCCATCAGATGACATCACCAACACCAGTTTTATATTACATTATGTTCTGTGTTTGGCTACATCGTGGGATAATAACATAGATAAGAAAAATATTGGTGATTGTTACCTAGGTAACCGTATACATTAATAACACGCGGAAATTAATGGACAAAACGCACCGAACTTTCAAATGTATTGCGAATGCATTACCTACCATTGGCGAAACAAAACATACCACTGTAATAGAATAAGCTGACACAATAAAAATATATTTTAAAGGAAAAAAGAGAGAAATGAAACGTATATCTCAGTGCATTCGTATCTTACATGGTTTGTTATCTTCAGATATGGTGCACGCCTACTAAACGGTGGCTCTTTCACATTTTGGTGATCTGTTTAAATGAGAGCCATCGACACTTCCGTTGCAGAGCCCTCGATAAAAACAAGGCTAAAAAGGTAAGAAATTTTAGTAAAAATATCAATTTAAAAAGATCATGCTTGTTTTTCAAAAATCGAAGAATGTCATGCCACGTAGAACATTTTTCTCATCATGTTGGGTGCAGTTTCGATAAGAAATACCCTGAAATGACGTTGCTAGAACTTTTACCAAATATAACATCGTGGGTTTTCCTTTACAAGGAAACACATTTTGAGTGATTTCCCTACCATAAAGTAGATGCTGGCCCATTTAATCGTGCATATAGCATTGTCGCAACCTCCTCTTTGGACCAACACAAAAAATAACTTACAGAACTTAGTTGAAAACCAAATAATCATATTTTTATTATTGTGATCGAGCCATCGACAAGGTGCTGGCGCCATCGGCAATGTGAATTGCGAATTTACTAAAATTTCTTACCTTTTCCAGCCTTGTTTTCATCGAGGGCTCTGCAACGGGAGTGTCGATGGCTCTCATTTAAACAGATCACCAAAATGTGAAAGAGCCACCGTTTAGTAGGCGTGTGGTGGCAATATTGAACAGTACAATTGTGAATAACGCTACAGTGTTTAGTACATGTACCTCAGGTCATGTGAAGATTTTTAAAAATAGAAAATACAGTTGAACATAGATATACAAGACATGTCCATTTACAAGTTTGTAATAAATTTCGTAAATATAATCTCAACCATCAAATGACGAGAAATTATCAAACGAGAATTCCTTTTTCTAACCCAGTTCTTCATTGTATCGCAAGCAACTTTCCACTTCTCCATATAAACAAGGCTTTAATGATAGTAATTAAAGTCGTGATTTAAATCAAATGTCAGTGAGGTAATAATAACTTTACATATAGTCCTTAACCACATAGACAAAGAAAAACTAGTGCTTTTGCAAAGGACTCTCGAACCTAAGAATCCCGAGGTCCATAGATTTATAGTTCTTCCTATTCAGCAAAATGGGTAAGCATATATTGAATAAGACATCTTCATGGCTATAGAATAAAATTTACGGCTCTTATATCATATTAGAGAAATTAATTGATTAATGTATAATCAAAATCGGCTTCGAATGAAATCTTGCAAAAATGACTTCGAAGTTCTAAATACACTGTATACATCAAAGTACACATATACAATGCCTAGGTATAAAGAAAATCGAGTTTCTTTCGGGTGCGGTCGCTTGTTTTTATGTATATATAATTAATAAAAGATTCATCATATTTGCAGATATGATCTAGTCAGAATGAATGGTAAAATAGATGCACAAACATATTTTATTTGATTTAATGAGGTATACTAATAAATATGCACTAATGACCGCTTTCTAATTAATCATATCATTTTTCATACAAATTGGACAGAAATTTACGAAATAAACTTTAAAAGTAAATAAGTCCTTTTTTGTAAATGATCAGCTTTTGAAAACTCTCTATTTTAATAAGTTTTAATCAGTACCTGGTCTAAATGATTTTTATCGCGTTGAAAAAAAATATGATGAGAATAGCACGTCGTATAAATCACTTTGAGTCTCGAATTGAAATTAACATGTGAATACCATAATCCACCCTAATACAACCTTATACAGTGCCTGCTTGAAATAATAATCAGACGACGCTTTTAAAAATCGATTTTAAACTCAAAGGATATGGTTAAAATGGTATATAGTTTATTTTACACTATTTTATTAAAGAGAAAAATCGAATCATAAACAAAACATTAGATTTTAAGCTAAAGAAATCGATCGTTTTCACGTGCCTGTTCCACATTTCATCTCAAAAACAAAAGAGCCTGACATAAGCTGATGAAATATTCATTTCTACAGGCAAAATTGACATGAAACGTTAGTAGAACATCATTGATGTTTATATCAGATGAAAATGTGTTTATATCAGGCCTACATCATCCGATTTGCAAAAAATGAATAAATAAATGAAATAAAAAACAAAAACAAACGAAATTTATTAAAATTATTAACACAACAGAACATATATCTTATTTGATTTAAGTATTATAAGCTCATCGTCGTTAAACAATGAAAACAAAACATACATATACTTGGTATGACATGGAACAAAACACATGTAATGAATGAAATAATATTTCCTCAACATATATTTCCTTAAGGATGTTACAATCAAAGAAAAAAATATTGTAAATATATATACACACAAGTTACATGTAAAAATATAGATTTAGGAAGATACTTATATTATTACAATAGTGAATTTCTTTATTTGAAAGCCCTATGGATAAGAGAGAGAAAAAAAAACGCATACAACAAACCCAAATTTTTTTAAAAGATTTATTAAAATTGATGAATATATTCATTTAAAATTAATGAATTTATTTTTTACGTGTTGAAATATTATTTGATATACAACATGTAGACTATTATATTATTTATCTGTAAGTTTAGAAATATATTTTTCTTCTTGACTTCTTGTAAAAAATGAGCATCCGTTACTGAATGATATCAAGCTAAAATCTTCAAACGGTTCGTTTTTTTTCTCTAGAACAGCAAAATGGCGAAGTGTATTTGCATGGTTCATTTGAACTTTATTTCAAAAGATTTCATTCTTTGAAAGCAAAGAGTTGTCAAAACGTACATCTTTCATACAATTAATTGAAAACTAATGGGCTTATATATTGATCGTTAGGTATGATAAACTCTTTACAAATAGTTCACTTTACTAGTTTTTATGAATTAACAATTTTCTAATCATAAATAGTGATGAATAGTAAATATCACGAATTTAGACTAATTTTTGAAGATGAATAAAAAAGGGAACGAAATAATTTACCTTATATTTTAAAAAATAGGTGAAAGAACTCATGTCTCGATTTTTCAAACTTTACTTAGGGTATGTTTTTCTTCTGTTTCAAAGAATCTTAAAACCATAACACAAAAACAACAATATATTTGTGAACTTAAGGATATGAAAATAAGAACACAATGTCATGTAAAAAAATCTATTTTTTTTTCTTCTTAAAAAAGATTGGCCTGCATCTTTAACTTCCATTATTAAAAGGTTCATCATCATAGGTTAAATTATTATTAAATTGACCAAATTTGCACTTACCCGTTTAAAAGATCTCCGAGTATCTCCTAGTGTAAGCGTAAGCCTCCTTTCCGTATATGATGCTGCGTATTTGCACGTAAAATACACCACTTTAATTAGTTTTATTCAAACGTCTATTTAAAGCAATCAATTCATTTTCAAATATGGTATCCATTATTTAAGAACAAGAAAAAATCACAAATACCTCTTTTTCTCCAACAAAAAAGTTAAAAGTTATGACAGCTACAGATTTTTCTTCAAAAATGTATAATTTTGAAATTAATTATTTACTTTTGCAACTCAATTATGGGTGAAACGATAGAATACGAAATCCCGCCATTAAATCTAATACCCCAACCCTATCATTTAGCAAATGAAATATAAAAATGACACTATATAGCTATGTGAAATCTTTTATTCCGCTGCTCATATTAAAGTAAATAATGAAATAAACAGTGAAATCGTCCACACGGCGCAAATCGAATTCTCTTTGTTGTCCTTATATAATGTCCTTTTGCTCATTTTGAATCTTGGATGTACTTTTGTTGGCGTTCAGAGCTTTAGATATAACAAAAAAAATCTAGAAATAGGAATATCTAGTGTTAATCATGAACAAATATCGGTTCAGACATTTTCTTATTCATTTTTCTTTCGTTTTTTTTTCTTGCAGCTATATTCCCTTTCAGTTATTCAAATGGATCTCACGATTAACAGACTTGCTTACGTTTTAAAAGGGACGTAAATATTTTTGTACAGGTGTTAACTTATCAAATTTATTAATTTGATACAGGTATAAACGTACAATTTATTTGATACTGAAAAATTACAATACAAATTCGGCGAGTTTGTTTTCTATCGATTGTTATGATAGAACTTTGATTGAAATACGTTGGTTTGAACTACTAATGATTTGTTTAAAAAAATAAAAATAAACAAAAGTATACAATTACCAATTTTGAACAAAACTGAATATGCAAACTGCTTAAATTTTAATTCTTTTCGACCTATAAATAAAATGAAAGTTTCAAATGCATTTCCACGTACACAATTCATAATTCATGTTTCTACAAACTTTGAACATCATCATCTTCACCATACTCATCATCATAATCATCAGCAGCACATCATTATCGTCATTTCAAACATCATAATTATCGTTATCGCCACATAATCATTTTAATTATCAGCATATCATCATCATCATCATCTTCTTCTTCTTCTTCTTCATCATCATCATCATCACCAACAGCAGCAGCAGCGGTGCACCATCATCATCATCATCATCTTTACCATCATCATTATAACATTATCATTAGCTGAGTTATCATTATCAACATCATCAGTACATCGTCGTCGTCATCTTTTATCAACATTATCAAACATTTTCATCCTCATCATCAAAAGACCATCATTATCATCATGAGAACATCAACATCAGAACATCATCATCATCAAAACAATACATTATCAAAATCATTATTGTCATCAGAGGAAGCAGCACCATCATTATTATCATCATCATCAACAACATTACGTTATTATCATCATCATTATCAGAACATCATCATCAGTCAATCATCATCATCATCATCATCATCAACAACAACAACAACAACAGTAAAAAATCAAAATCAGTTCATCATTATCATCATTTTCATCACCAGTACATCATTATCTTCATCATCAATAATACATTAACAAAATCATCACCATCAGTAATAGTAGCAGCAGCAGCATTTTCCATTAAATCCTGTTCTTAACATAAAAGAAATACAGTACAACGGACATCATACTTCGTGTTATTACAATGATGATGGAAGTGATGGTTTTTGATGAAAATTGGTGAAATGATAATCATAATTTTGATTATCGAAGTACTTGATCATGATGAAAGAGGTGACAAATAATAATTTGGTGACGATGATTTCAATAATGATGATAATCGTGGTCGTGATGATTTTGATGGGGATGAGTTTGTGATGATAAAAATGATGATGATGAATTGATAATTATATTTTTGCCGATAATTGAAATGTTTAAGATATTGGTGATGGAGGAGTTACAAGTTATGATTTTAATGATGATTCGGATAAAAGTGGTGAAAATGGTATAATGATTAAGATGATGATGGTGATGATTTAAATGATGATGGACATGATAATGTGTTTAATAATGACGATGATGATGACGATGGAGGTGAAAATAGTAATGACTCTGGTAGTGGTGGTGGTGGTGATGATGATGATGATGATGATGATGATGATGATGATGATGACTATAATGATGATGATGCAAGGTGGCAACAATGTTTATTTATCACCAGCTTCATGACGGGGACGTCTATCCGTCTAAGCGAGGCATCACTTTTGTCGACATCGATGAATGTTGCTGACGAATAAAGATCCCGGGAACTATTCGTTTGTGCTTAACTAATATAGCTCTTGAGAAGCTACATGTACATGCATTACAGCGCAACATTACTGACAAATTTTTCCAAAAAGCTTTTTTTGTCGAGAGCTATATGATGGCGGCCCGAGTTCGATTCCCGAGCGGTGCAGATCACTTTCGTTGTGATTGATCATGAAATCCCTTCTACGGTGACTCGCACTTTACCTCTGCTCTGGCATGTTAAAAAATTATCAGTTCGTTACGAAAATGAAGGCAACTAGTACTGGTTAACTGCTTGATAGCCTGCCCAGGAAAGATGCAGTGGCTTAACTGTGCTCTGGTAAATTCAATGTGGCTTAGCCCCTTGATCCGGGGTAAACTTCCAACACAATTACAAATGTATGGAGTGTTTCACTGACCAAGTTTGTTTGTTTTTGACAGGAAGCTCAGCAGGGTCATGGCTCTAATTAAAGGGATTCGGTGGCCTATTTATCTTCAAAACTATATAAAGTCCTTTAAAATGTACACGTGTCAGTCACTTCTCTCTTCCTCGGTGCTTGCACGTCGCAGAGAAGACACAGGGCATCGGTAGAAGTTTTTTGGCTTGGCGGATAAAAAAGTTCTATACTAAACTACCCGTTCTCGAGTCTCTACTGCATTTAGTACCTGAAAGGGCGGATGGACCCTCATTAAGCAAAGATTAATACTGCGAGTCAGTCATGATTAAGTCAAAGGGATTTGAAACACGTCTTATGTGTAATATGAATACATTACATCTGCATACACTTAAAAAACAAACAAACAAACGATTTACAAGATGTCTTGATAGTTTATTTACCATGTCAGACTCCCTGCGGTGTGGAAACAGGTTACAATTTAGTAATGCATGATTTTAATCTAAAAATGCAGTATACATGTGCAATTTGGTCGGGTATGTGTCATACAATTTGTGATATATGATTATTGCCCATTTAATCATTCACTACTTTATAACAATAACGCTTGATATAACTCTATATGAATACCATGTATGACTGTCTCAGTCGGCCGGTCAGTCATTCTAAGCTTAATGGGGATCCATCAGCCCTTTCAGGCACTAAGAATACGAGACACCGGTCATGTCACCAATCATGCCCTTAAACAAGATCAATTATCTAAAAAAAACATCTATATAATTATAGTACCATTTCCTCCGATCTTAAATTGCACAGAAATTAAGTGCTCAAAAAAGGTAGATGATAATAACAACATTAATGATAATAATTAAACTATCCTATTTTGTGAAATTTGATAATCTCGCGGTGAATTAATAAATAGCTGTTTTGAAAATGATTCATTTCATAAAACCAACAGGATAGCAAAATTTAGAACATTGTTGCCTCCCTAATAAATACTTACAATGGGGTACCGCTTACAATGTGATATACAATTCCCTCGTCGTGATAACGGATTCATTAACGTGAATACTATTTTTCTGTGTTAATTTACATTCAAAATGAAACTACAAGATACAAGATACAAGATACAAGAAACTTTACTTTAAGTCGGTTTACATATTACAAGAAACATTAGCTAATAAGCTATTTACCGACAATAACAAAAGCATAAAACATATTTGCTAACATATAACAGTTCTGAAAATAAAGACATATAAAACTATTAGCAGCTTAAGCATGAAATAAGAGTATCAAGGTTAAGAAGAACTTTACAATAAGATGGTAAATTAAGGCATAGCTTGATGACATGCACAGTACATATTGTATTAAAGGTAATAACAGTTTCTAAAAGTAATAAATGACTGTAGTCTAGAAATTTAAGTATGATACATATAGCAATGTGAAATAAATAAAAATAATAATAAAAAATAAAAAATTAATAAAATAGTAATAGTTATAAGTTAACATCTACAATTTATAAATACGTAATTGAAGGTTTCCTAAAAAATATATATAAATAAATAAATAGATAAAATTAAACTTACTTATAAAAGTGCATAAAATTTATGATAGAACTTATACAGCATAAAAAAGAAACAAGATAAAGCACATACAGTGTAACAAACAAAAATTAACTAAAATTAAGTTGCATGCACAGCCTAATGGAATGGGGAATAAGGAGTTTTAATATGAACAAAGCATACAAACACAACAAAGATTCAACTAGCATAAAATACAAGGGTTTAAGAAAAATTAACACACAACATATAATCAAAGCATCATAGCAAACTAAAAGGGATGCACAAAAGCAAGGCAAACAAACAAAACATGTAGTCTAAGCATTTACATAAATTAAAACTAAGCAGAAAAACAAACACATAGCAAATTTACAAGCACATAGCACATTTACAGCTTGGGCCACTCCAGACCTGGATCAGTCTCCCAAACTCTTTGTAATTCTCAACCTTGCGGATGTCATTAGGGAGACTGTTCCATATCTGGGCACCTTCAAACTTAAAAGAATTCTTACCGTATGTTACTGTTTTGACCCTTGGGACATTTACACTTTTTTGATACCTAAAAGAATAATTGGAATTTTTAAATTGAATTAAATCATTTATATATGGTGGTGATTTTCCGTACAGGCATTTAAACACTTCTTTGGCTATTATTTTAATTCTTGACAAATGTAAAGTAGGCATATTAACTTTTTTTAATAATGTGTCATATGAAGAATTAAAATCATTAAATACTATTTTTAGAGCTCTATGCTGGAGTTTTTCAAGTTTTTCTGTGTTTGTTTTGGAGCAAAAATGCCAGACAAGGGGACAGTAGTTAAAATTAGATCTGATAAAAGATTTGTAAATAAGAAGAAGACATTCTGAATTTAAAAATTTCCTAATTCTTAAGAGCACATTTAATTGATTGGCAGCTTTTTTACACATTCTGGTGACCTGTATATCAAAGTTAAGTAGAAAATCTATGTCTACCCCTAGCAGTTTAACACAATCTTCACATTTTATTGTAACATTATCAATTTGAAATTCTTTTAAGTGTTCATTTGTTATTTTCCCAACAGCTATGGCTTGAAACTTGTCAGGGTTAGCTTGCATTTTATTAACGTTAAACCAGTTAATAAGTATTTTACTTTCATTTTCTAATGTGTTTTTCAATATGTCTATTTTAGAGTTGGAGAAGGCTAGAGTATTGTCATCTGCATAATTGTAGAGGATGGATTTATCTATAAAATAAAAAATATCATTCATGAAGATGTTGAAGATTAAAGGTCCAAGAATAGAGCCTTGTGGCACCCCCTTAATTGTTTCAAGCCAAGTGCTATGATACTCTCCTATTTTAACTGTTTGTTTCCTGTTTGAAAGATAGTTTGAGACTAGAGAACATGCATTTTCAGACAACCCATATGCCTCTAGCTTTTGGACTGTAAGATCATGCGGTAGACAGTCAAAAGCCTTGGACAGGTCCATTAGGATTGCTGCCACATGCTCATTTCTGTCTAACGCCATCTTCCAGTCCTCAACTAGACGCAAAAGAGTTGTCTGACATCCGTAGCCTGGTCTGAAAGCGGCTAAATAATTATGAAATATATTTTCAAAATGGTTGCTTAATTGTTCATTTATAATTTTCTCAAATATTTTTGACATTGATGGTAATATACTAACTGGCCTATAATTTTTCATAATAAAAGGATCATCTTTCTTAAAAACTGGAGTGACTTGAGCCATTTTTAAACTGTTTGGAAATAAATTTGTGTTGATCATATTATTGACTATCTTGGATATAGGTTTACAAATTATATTTGCTGAGCATTTCAGTATTTTGGGTGGTACATTGTCATATCCTGTTGCTTTCTTTGGGTTTACTGATTTTAGATGTTTTTCAATTGACTCTGATGTTACAGTAGAAAAATTGAACTTTTGTACATTGTTATTGTTTTGTTTAATTAATTTAATACTAGGGTGTTCATTTTGAGTAATAGTCTGATTATTTATCCCAATATTTTTGGCTATATTTACATAAAAGTCATTTAACATATCACACACTTTAGTTTGATCGGCAATCAGCGACTCATTTTCCTTAAGAATAATGTTACTTGAACTTTTCAAAATGGATTTTTGACTTAAAAAAGGTTTGATTGTTGGCCAGAAATCTTTAGACTTTGGGCCCCCGCTACATCTTTCCATGAAATAGGTGGTAATAGATTCACGTTTTATTTTTGTTTTGAAGTTCCTGAGTTTTCTATACTTTTCCCAATTATTTTTTGTTTTATATTTCAGATATGTGTTATGTGCCTGTCTTGTTTGGTAGATTATTTTTCTGTATTTAGAGTTCATATAAGGTGGTGAAGACTTTTTAGGATATTTTTGTTTTATAGGTGCATGTTCGTCTAAAATTTCATTAAAAAGTTTATTATATGCCCAGTAAGTGTCATCAACATCATCAAAAGTAAATGCTACTTGGAACGGTACTTTGTCTAGTTCAGTGTTAAAAACATTTTCATCAAAATTTTTGTAACTCCTAAAAGGTATTCTCTTTTTAGATACGGTATTAACCTGTTCTTTGAGAGTTGTAAATATCATACTATGGCAGTCACTTATGCTGCTACTGATAACTGATGAATTACATAGCAAAGAGGACGAGTTTGAAATTTTCACGTTTTAAAAATCAAGTAAACAATTTGTTGTCATATTTGTATTTAATAACTTTCTGCATTGTTTCATCATTAGACACTACATGTTGGCAGTATTAAGTATATGTATAGTAGTGTTCAACCTGCTATTTGGTACAATTTCTTGGTTTTCAACCTATCAAGGGAGGCAAGCCACCTATCAAATTCCAAAATGGCTGACGGAGAAGAATGCAAATGTCCACAATCAAGTAATTTTGATATTTGTCTTATTTTCTTATTTGTCTTGTTCAAAAGTACACTAACAAGATTAAAATTAACAATATCTAATATTGTTACTTAGCATCTGTTGACGGAAATCATTTATAGTTAGCAGGATCATACAGGATAAATTTTTATTGAAAAAACAAAAACAAAATTAATCACTTCCGTGTTTCACTGTTTGTTTGTTTTTGCCTTATCAATATCAGATAGGCTACTTCTTGCTAAAGTTCACTGTTGTATAATGAATGTCAGACGTTTCACTCCCAAGACGTTTCACTATTGAGACGTTTCACTCCCAAGACGGTTCACACCTAGACGTTTCACTCCCATTTTGTCAATTGTATGGACGTTTCACTCCCAATTTTTAAAGATGTTTACTAGGAAAGTTAACAAATTTTAATTTCATTAATATTAAACAGTGTTAAAAGGAAATTCAATTTAATGTTTCATTTTGTTGAATTCAATGGTATCATTTAATTATGGGTTGAGTGATAAGAACGACACATTTCTGAAATATCACTTTTATTATCAGTGTAACAACATGAGAAAATTCTATTTATAGTAAATAAAAAAAAATAGAATAACATAGAAAGAACAACAAAAACATCTATATTGTAAGTATCAGTTTAAATATATTGAAATCATTACCAGTAAAGTAATAAATACATGTATCACTCAAATAATAAAAAATATCGATATATTAAATATATTGACTATGTAATGATTATTTTTTGTAAGTCTTAAACAATGAAATGCAAAACATGTGTATAAAAACTATAAAATAAATTATTTTTTAAAATTATTTTCTTCATCAATTTATTAAACCCATTAAAAAAACTTAAGTAATTGTGGTGTTATCTCATTGGCTAATTAGTTGTATAAACACTGAGACAATCAACTAACAGTTTGACACACTATTAAATCAGTTGTATAAACACAGCAGTTTACTAATCAGTTGTTTATTAGACCATTAAAATATTTTTTGACAACAGCCAATTTAAACACAGAAACTTCTCCATAAGTTTTGTTTATATAATAATTGATTTTAGTCACAAAAAATGATTATACATGACAAATATTGAAAAAGTCCTAATGCTTCTAATTTTATTTAAAGATGTTTCTGATTTCAATGGCCATTAATTTTTTTGAAATATATCACAAATGCACTATACTAGCATAAAATATTTTAACAATTTTTGATCCGATGTTTAAAATTAACAACAAAAAACATGTAACTCAAAGTTAATGTCACAAGATTGTTATGCTTTAAATTAAAATTGCCTATTGAGTCCATGTTTACAAAAGATCAAATACTTAGTTATATTAAAGTGTTATTTTAATCAAAAATATTTTTTCTTTAAATGAAATAATGTGATAATCACTGATAATTGCACATTTGGATCAAAGAATAGAAAAACACCTTATTTCAAAACAATAAAGAAAATAAGATAACTGAAATGATAGAACTTAAAGAACTGAGTTTTAAGCCATTGACAAAAAATTGAAATCCTCCTTTTTAATTTATTAAATTTAAGGTCTATTTTAGTTCAATTCAATTCAATATTTTAGGTCTATGTTAGTATATCATAAGTATCAAAATAATTTTGGTATAAAAAGGGAGTGAAACGTCTTCAAGACATTTCACTCCCATTTGGGAGTGAAACGTCTTGGTGTGAACTGTCTGGGTGTGAACCGTCTCAATAGTGAAACGTCTGTCTACCTTGTATAATTTCGATGAAAACAAATTGAAAATAAATTTTGATGTAGATCTAATCTTTACTGGCATGCGAGCAGTTCCCGTACAGAAGCAGTACCCGTATTTTTCATTTAAACGCTCGATTTTTACCTGCATTCTTCAAAAATTCATTTCAAATCAAGCAGATACATAAACGAGACAAAATCTAAGTGTCAGTTTGGCAGTACGTATAAAAAGTCTCATTTTAAATCACTTTCACCTGTGCGTCGTCAAAACGTGACCTTGTTTTCTCTGGGGGATTCCGTCATTGCGCGCATGCGCGAAAATACTTACACGTGAGGCTTGTTAAAGGGTTTTCCACTAATACCACCTGTTTACAAATAAGTAGGCAATGTGATGAAAACTTGTTTAATCATCAGAATTTTGACCAATATTACAATATAAAATAATTTTATGCCTTTGATGCGTAAAATATCATGCATACAAGCATGCTATTGCATGTGAATGCGTTGGGGTAACGGTACCGGGTAATAGATACCCGCGTTTAGTCTACGTTCTATTTCCTGAATTACATCTATTTATCTCTTAGATAATGGTCTGTTCAACAATTGTAAATGAAAAATAGGTCCGATATAATAAAATTGTATAATTATAATGGGTTAGATTTTATGTACGGGAACTACTTCTCTTCATACAAAATAATGGATAATTTCGGTACCCCATATGAGGCCTCATAAGTAAGGGTTATTCTATGTTTAGAACATGATGGAATTTCCATGATTTGTGTGACGAGCCGAATATTGATGTGTAACATTCAAATTTTGGTGAGTGAGCGCAATAAAAAATAATGTTTAAGTAACTATGATTTTTGTACGGGAACTGCTCGCATGCCAGTAGAGATAGTAATTTTATAATATGAAATTAGGCAAGGCCTATGAACGGGGAAGTCGTTTAAAATTCCTTTCATTCTTTCCGTTTTAAAGGTGTTATTCGGTATTACATACACCGCTTCCGTTTTCACTCGGAACACTCGATGATTACTATTTATCCGAAAAGTTGAGATTTGTTCCGTTATCCGAATACCCTGCCTATTAGTATTATCATTGAGTTACATTGTAAATGGCGGCGCCCGACTAGAACTGACACTGAAAATTTCATTGATAGGTATAGAATTCTATATATTTTTTAATTGTTTTTTATTTGATTTTCTTTTACATATACACGTGTAGTCTATAGCCGGTCAAACCAAAGCCCGGACCCGCTTCGCGGGCCCGGTCTTTGACTTCCCCGTATAACATAGCAATTAATGTCGAGGGGCTGGTCGTCGCGATCCTATGTGTTTCACAGTCACATCCAAGAGACAAGACATTTCGTACTAAACACGTTTCACATCAAAACGGTTGACACCATGACCTGGACGTACCTTACTGTACACACCGGAAAGGTTGACACTTGACGTTTTACTACACATTTGTTAATTGTATGGAAGTTTCACTGCAAATTTATTTTCAAGAATTCAATTTAAATAAAATTATATGCCTGCACAAAGTATTAATTAATTTTAAACACAGCTTTAATTGGGACCTGCTTTAATTAGAACTACCATACTTCAGGGTTCTAGCCAGCCGTTTAACGTTTGTCGCATGTGACATGCCTTCAGGGCGAGGCATTATGGTATAAAATAATAAATGCATCATCAGTTAATGTTAAAGTTAATCTCCCAGACATCCCTTAATAAAAAAAAACACTCGACATCGGCATTGAATAAACTATCCATTATAGCGCATACTTTTTTGATATAGCCCGGGTCTCCACGATACTGGTGATCATACAAGGTGTTTTTCAGATAAAATTTTACTGACTTGAAAAAAAGAAGGAATAAACAACTTCATTCACATTTAATCCTCTTAAAAATACATTACAAAGTTCTGTTACTCTGAAATTCTCGCTCATTACAAATGTAAACAATGGTTGACCATTTTGTATAAAGTAGTTAAACAGACTTCATGCTACTGGTGCACTGGTAAAAATTTATTTAAATGGAAAGCTATTGCAATTTTAATAGCAAATATATCATTTTAGCATTCTTGTATTCATATCTGAAAAAAAAAAAACAACTTTAAAACAACATAAAAGCGTGTGTTTCAATAAATTACTGTTCATCTTTTAATACTCCCAAAGGATCTCTGTTTTACAATCTTTTCATCCCAATTACAGGTGTATATTATACAGAGCAACAGATAAGGTGCGTATTTGCGTATTTACGCAATTAATTTTATAAAATAGGCAATTGATTTTTTAAGAATGCATATGACTATCAAAACCCATTAAAAAAATAAAATTGTCTTAAAAACCCATGCCTATTGTCATTTTCATCACTGCAAAATTAATCTGTTGCACGCTCGTAGTTTTGAACAAATTATATTGATATGCATGCTATCCGAATATTCCCGAATCAATGCTAACAAATCAACGGTTTCCGGTCTTCGACGGTCCCCAGTCTCAAAAGACTGACTAAGCCATATCAATAAAGCATGAGACCGTCAATTTGTCTACTCAGGTCGACGGTCTTTACAGACCGACAGAGACCGTTGATTTTGCGAAGACCGTCAATAAGTAGGTCCCAGCTGTATCAATAGACGCTTTGAAAGCAATATGGAGTCGCATTGTATACACACCGGTCTCTCAAATATCGGTAAGACCGGTGTACACAATGCATGGAGTCGTACAAAAGGGAAAATGATTTGAAGCAAAACAGTGACAAATAATCAAAAGACAGTCAGGAAACGAACTTGTTAAAAATATTATCAAGTATAAGATGAGCATTTTATAAAAAAAATAAAACAATTGTGAAAAGTTCTAGTAAATTGTTAATCCTATTTTCTTTTTAAAACAGTTTAAATTTTATTGATAGAAACCATAAAATTCATATCTTCATAATTGAATACCCAATTGATCTTGAAATCATAGGGTATCAAGTTTTGGAATACTTAATTAAATGGAACCAATACCCAATTCCAAAGGAAATGATGGAGTAATATACCCAATTAACTTTTAAAGCTTATCTGTTGCTCTGATTATACCATGTGCCTGGATTCAAAAATTCCCTTCACTTAATTTTAGTGTTGCTGTGATTTTCTGGCCCTTTTATATCATTGAATCTATTTTAATTCTATATGATGAACATTAGATATCAATATGGCACTTTACACAGACTCCCTGAAACTGACTTTTCAATTTTCACAAACTATTTTATATGCACTAATGGCTTTCCATAGATTAATTTTTTCCCTCAAAAAATGATGTCAAAAGGTCAAGTGACATGTAATGGAGGTTGAATGACGTCAGCACCTGTCATTTTTTTTTTTTTTTTGAAAAAAAAAAAGTGTTTTGTAGAGAGACCAATTTATGCACTGGAGGAATAGGATAGTAAAATAAAAATACGGTATGATATGTGATATATTTTCTTCAGAAACTTATCAAAATGTTTAAAAACTTTGAAATAGCCAATTTTACTGGGAGCATGTCAATATAAACAGTCAGTTGGTGGCATTGACAATAATATCGGGAGATATGTGAATACACTGGTACAGTGGAGCCACCGGTATCATGGGGTTCGAGTATACTTGTCAATCAGTGTCAATAACAGCAGACGCTTTAAACCAATGAAAAGACACGGTAGCAAAGTTATGACGTAACAATTATAATAATTTATTATCATACACTATTACAGTATATGGCACAAATCCACAATTCATTATCACACCCTCATGACAAGGAATATAAATTACAAGGCTTACATTCATCCTGCTAGGCACTTTAGATTCTTTCATTTGAGGAAGCTATCCAGCTGGCTTATGGAACGTCAGTGGTCCTACTCAGGGTGCCCATTCATACCTGAAATAACACACGGAAGGGCACCTGAGGTCTTCCTCCACCAGTTAAGTTCGAACGTCACCATATGACCCATTCTGTGTAGATGTGACATAAAACCCAAGCAAAGGTTACACAATGTTACAGTGGGATACACTTTATTTCGTTCATGTAGATAGCTAATATATTAAGTTTTGCTGTTGTTGTGTTTTTTTTATGGAAAATAAATGAGATAAAAAGTAATTTGAAATGTGTAAATTTCTTTCTTTATTTATTTTTAAAAACCTTTTCATAAATTACAGGAAAATATTAAGCATGAATCTGAATGCTGCTTTTGAAGTTTAATTCATTTACTTACTTGAGCATCTTACAGGCCTATGGTTACATGTACATTGTACATGCAGATGTGTATCCGATTGAAAACTACATTTATCAAAACTTTGAGTGTGAACTGTGATCATGGAATATGATAAGAAACATTTTAAGTAAAGAATATTGAGGTGACCTACAGGGACATTTTCAGGTTCTCTACCCTTGAATTAGTTCATAACAATGAATTATAGACCTCCACCACCCATGGTATGGACTTTCTTTGAGGGCACTATGTAGTGCACTATGACATTCTTAGAAGAATTTGTTTTATTTTTCAGTCAATTACGAGGAGAGTACAGACATGACGAAGGTCATTGTAAAGCTTGTGATACCAGGTCTTACTGTAGAAAAGAAACTGTTCAGTAGTGTTGGTAAACCAAAACCTGGGGAAGCTGAGGTTGATGTAAAATTTGATACCATGTAGGTACATTATTAGTCCCCTACCGGTTTAACCGGAGGGGACTTTAGGTTTACCCTCCGTCTGTCCGTCTGTCTGTCTGTCCGTCCGTCCACAAAACTGGATCCCGCGATAACGCAAAAAGTACTGAAAATATTTTTATGAAACTTGATATATGGATAGATGGCAGTATGGAGATTATGCACGTCTTTTTCTTTTCTTCCTATGTTGAAAATTCTGGTTGCTATGGCAACAAATAGTCTGAAAATATGGCAAATTTAACACATAAACTGGATCCAGTGATAACTCAAAAAGTACTAAAAATATTTTTATGAAACTTGAAATATGGGTAGATGGCAGTCTGGAAATTATGCACATCTTTTTCTTTTCTTCCTATGTTAAAAATATTGGTTGCTATGGCAACAAATAGCCTGAATTTCAAGATTTCTGTTTTAAATTTTTCAGCTTTTTCACTATAAGTTCTTTATTTCTTAAAGTGTTTACTTCAAACTTTAAATATAAGTTTCTGGTCATCAACCACATCATATGTGACAAGGTTTACAACTCTAGTACAACAATTATCAGTATTACCTCCCTTGAACTTAGAATTTTTATGAAAAAAAATGTTGTCTTTTTTAAATAACTTCTTTATTTCCTAATGTATCTACTTCAAACTTCATATATATGTTTCTTATTATCACTCAACATTTTTGAGAAGGTAAAATACTCTAGCAAGACTATTTCCAGGATTATGTCCCCCTTGAACTTAGATTTTTTTTCGAGAAATTGGTATTTTTCACTCCAACTTCTTTATTCCTTATAGGATTTACTTTAAAATCCCACATTTTAATAATATGACAAGGTTGTATAAACATTATTTCCTTACTAGGCAGGGAAACTTAACACATTACTGTGATATAGACAAACTTAGAACTCAAAAGATTTAAGTTCATTCATGTCATTCATTCACTGGTAAAATTGAATGGCCAATGGCCCATCAGAATGTTGCTTGGGTTCTAACCGGTAGGGGACTTATGGATTGCTTGCAATACTATGATAATTGCTTGTTTTATTTGCATTCATGCCACATGTTGCTATTTTAATCCCTTAGCTTTCTCATGGCAACTGATTCTACTGTTGTGACCAGTGCAGACTTGACCATGAACATTTGCTAGCATATCAATGCCATCCAATCTTAGCCTGCACTGTAAGCTTTTAACTCTTGGAAATTTTCCTAAGTATGATAAATGAGTCCATTTATGATATGAATTATAAAATGTTCTTTATTCAAAACTCAAGAAATTTAGAGCTTAAAGATTTTTACAACTGTAATGAATTGATTATTTTGACAATAAAACATTTAATATGAACAGTACAATGCTATCACCTACCCTGCTTGAACTGAAAGTGATAAGCCTTTGACATGCAGCCTGACCAGGCTCTTTACTGTTGGCTGACTAACCTCATATTTTCATCTTAATATCCTAACATTGACAATGGACAGTTCAAAATATTGAAGCTGGACTAGTCCATTTAAGAAATACAGCAGGTTTAGATATTTAATTAATAATATAACTATTTACATAATTTATTTTTCAGGGGCCTTGAGATGAGTGCTAGCATTATTAAGAAAGGAAAGACAACAAAATATGCATACAAAGTAAACAAATTACCAGGGGAAATAGATACAGAAAAAAGCAAAGTTGAGGTATTTATTTTACATACAAGTCATGTACTTTAAAAACCAAGCCCGCTGAAAATCAGACAAATTCAAAAGTCACGATTTTCATTAAAAAGTTAAAAATTAATTGAAAAATATATCTACAACATTATGTAAGTAGTGGAACCTTTAAATTCTGAAAACTGAAAACTGGACATTGAATCAATTGTTTGAATATTTACACACTTGTTCTCTGTGATTATCTAATATTTTGTGGCTAAGGTCCTATAACTGTGGGTTACCTGTTTACAGAGTAAAGCCCATATTTGTACTGTCAAGCACTGAGAATTTGAGTGTGCTGTGTTATGGATGGCTCAAATGACCTCATATTAACTTTAAGAGTTAAATAGAATTCCTGAAATAGCCGCTGGTACAATCAAAAAGTAATAAAATATGCATGTGACGTCTATTATAATTATGTGTTGTGTTATACACATCACTTCCTGTTAATATTTTGTTTGTGTTACAACCTGAAGAGACGTGTACTTATACACCAATTTTATGCTTCCCAAACTTGTATGCATATTTCAGAAACATAATGTTCGAATTCTAGCACAACAATTATCAGTATTACCTCCCTTGAACTTAGAATTTTTATGAAAAAAATGTTGTCTTTTTTTTAAATAACTTCTTTATTTCCTAATGTATCTACTTCAAACTTCATATATATGTTTCTTATTATCACTCAACATTTTTGAGAAGGTTAAATACTCTAGCAAGACTATTTCCAGAATTATGTCCCCCTTGAACTTAGTTTTTTTTCAAGAAATTGGTATTATTCACTCCAACTTCTTCATTCCTTATAGGATTTACTTTAAAATCCCACATCGTAATAATATGACAAGGTTGTATAAACATAATTTTCTTACTAGGCAGGGAAACTTAACACATTACTGTGATATAGAAAAACTTAGAACTCAAAAGATTTAAGTTCATTCATGTCATTCATTCACTGGTAAAATTGACTGGCCAATGGCCCATCAGAGAGTTGCTGGGGTTCTAACCGGTAGGGGACTTATGGATTGCTTGCAATACTATGATAATTGCTTGTTAAAGATAAAATTAATGAAACACTTAGTTTGAAACAACACAAATTTTATTCCATCAGAAAAGAAAAGCTGAAGGCCACTTTAAGTGTATTTTAAAGACTAGAGGTGTGAAATTTGATAGAAAAAGTGTGTCATGTCTCTGCTATATGTACTTATAATGTTGTATATTTTCAGTACAAAAAAGACCTTGTTATTCTAACCCTTGTGAAAACAGAAGAGTCAACATGGGCTGTTATGATGTCAAAAAATGGATTAGACCAAGCACCCTCAGAATAGTCATGGAGATCAAAACAAAAATAACTTATATCTAGTCTCCAACTCCAAACAGTAAATGGTCCAGTTCTTGTTATCCCTCAAATGTAAGAAAAATGTGATAATTTTGAATACTAGTTACATAATTATGTATATCAAAATTGTTAAGGCCTTTATTTGTTACTGAACTTTTTTGTATTGTTTTTATAGAGGAATATTCTTAAACTTTCAATGATTATAAAGTTTCAAAATGTTTACAAATCACATTTTTTGATAAAGTAGGTACATAAATAAAAATCTCTATACATGCATTTATATATGTATATATTGTACCAATCTATTATAAATGTACATGCAATTTTATTAGTTATTTCTTCAGTATTCTATGCTAAGTTATCACACTTCATTACAATAGTTCAGAGGTCATTCAGATTGGCTGTTTCTGAAATGCTGCATAAAAATATATCCCTGGCTACCCCTCCATCAGTTAAGTAAGACAGTTGTTACATCACATGAGTCAGAATATGTGTTTCAAAACAACAACAACTTTGAAAAAACAACAACAACAGCTTTTAGAACAACAATAACAACAGTATATTGTTATCAATTGACTTGAGCTTGTGTGAATACAAGGGAGAAGAGTTTGTTAGAACTACAATCAAAATTATATCTGTTTGTTCAGATATCAAGTTCCTATTCTTATTTTTTTGAAAGATCTGTGATAAAAACAACACATTTTGGTATCAGCATTGTATATTTCTACATTTTTTTATATTTTTTTAATGTTAATCCATAAACATTATTGTGATTTGAATATATGATTTACATAAGTAAAGGCCAAAATTGAAAATAACTTTGCTGTTTTTCTTTTGTGAAAAGCTGTACAATTTGAAGTTCAAATTTTTTTTTTATTTTACTTTTTGTTTTTTGTATTCAATTTTTCTGATAAAATCACCATTCTTTTCTTAGAATAAACAGGTGATTCCACATATATTTTATTGTGGTAATTGAAATAGCTAAATGTACAAAACAATGTTTTTGATTGGTTGTATCAATGAGAAGTTTGTTATGTAATCAGTGGTAGTGATTATTCTTTTTGTTTATTATATTATATATTTATTTTTTATCAAGAGTTTGGCCAATAAGTAAGATTTTTTTGATAAAACCTTTAATGATCAAACTATATCATTCATTTTTAGCTCGACTTTTCTATGAAAAGGGGAGCTATCCTACTCGCCCCAGCGTCGGCGTCGGCGTTGGCGTCACACCTTGGTTAAGTTTTTCGTACCACCCCACTTTATTTCAGAAGTATTACAAGTATGGCTTTGAAACTTACCATACTTGTTCACCATCATAACCTCCATCTACAGACAAGAGTACATAACTCTGTCAAGGTTTTTGACAGAATTATGGCCCTTTTTTGACTTAGAAAGTGTATTGAGCTTGGTTAAGTTTTTTGGACCACCTCACTTTATTTCAAAACCATTGGAGGTATTGCTTTGAAACTGACCATACTTGTTTACCATCACGACCTTCATCAACAGACAAGAGGACATAACTCTGTCAAGGTTTTTGACAGAATTATGCCCCTTTTTGACTTAGAAAATACATTGAATATGGGTAAAATCCACTTATTGCCTTAACCCTTTGAGATATTGCTTTGAAACTTTTAATGCTATTTCACATCATTACCCCCATCTGTACGCAAGAGAAGGTAACTCTGTCAAGGATTTGTTTTAAAAATTAAGGCCTTTTATCGACTTAGAATCTTGGTTAAGTTTTTAGTACCAGTCCACTTTTTGACTGAACTGTTTGAGATATTAATTTGAAAGTTGGAATACTTGTTTACAATCATGATTCCCAAACATGTCCAGGAGAAGGTAATTCTGTCAAAGATTTTATTTGAATTATGGCCCTTAACTGTCAATGTTTTGTATTATAGGCAAGCACTAAAAAAGTCGAGCGCGCTGTCTTACGGACAGCTCTTGTTGATTTAGCCTGTGTTTAGTAACTGTTACACTGTCCATTTCATATGACTTGTAACTGAAACTTTGTTGAATTATTTAGGAAAGTGAAGTAAATTTTGTTATGTTTACTTAAAGGCCTATGTTATGCCTAAGAAATGATTTATATTTTCATTCTCTTTAAAGGCCCATTATGCCAAAGAAATGAATAAATTCATTTAAAATGGGAAAATATTGGTTTTATAAAGTTTAAATAATAGTTTTACAGCATGTTAGAAGATTATAACCTTTAGGAAATAAATGAAATGTGAAATGATTTGTCATAAAAGAAGCAAAATGTAAACAAAGTAGTATTTTGATTTCCATACAAAATAATAAATCTCTATAAATGTACTAAATTCCAAAAAGCAACAGAAACAAAAATGGTTCATAATAATTCATTTAATTGGCCAATGAGTAACATTTTGGAAACTGTAACAGGACACAAGAAATAAAAATAACCTTTAGAGAAATAAAAATAAAATTGTTCCTGGGACATAATGGGTCTTTAAACAAAACCAGATAATCAAATTTTTAGAGTAATGAGGTGTAGGTAATTCATAAGATATTTTACACGTATTACTGTGTGCCTGTGTGGACATTAAATTTGAAAGCTGATAACTTTCGTAAAAACCACAGCTGTTCAATTATTTGTTATTCAGTTTGTAATTGTATTAGTGACTTATTTGTTGTATGAACATTAATAGTTTGTTTAGTTCACTGTATATTACCTGGATTTGATGATGATGATGAAAATACTATTTGTGGTAACAAGATTGTCTTACATTATACAACTGATGGTGCTATAAATGGATACAGTTTTTACAATTATATGACATTTATAAGTTTATTAATTCATTAAAGTAACTCCACTGAGGTCTAGAAGCCTAAAATTATAAAACTTAAAATTCTTTTAATCAATCAAAAGGTGCTCTTAAAATGGAAAACTGTGCAAAAGATAATATGAGCTGCGCCATGACAAAACCAACATACTGGGTTCTCGACCAGCATGGATCCAGACCAGCCTGCGCATCCGAGCAGCTTGATCAGGATCCATGCTGTTCGCTATCAGTTTCTCTACTTGTAATAGGGTTTGTAAGCAAACATCATGGATCCTGATCAGACTGTGCGTATGCGCAGGCTGGTCTGGATCCATGCTGGTTGCAAACGCATTACATGCGGTTTTGGGGCAAATTTTAGTGATTAAAGGTGTAGGGCTTTCATTTTGGGTCAGTTGTGCAATAAAATTGATTATTTCTGAAAAGTGGAGTAAGCTTATTACCTTTAATTTTGCACACAAATTATTGGTACATACTGACATACACTTAAACAAAAATCTTGAAAAAGAAACCACGGCATTTCCACCCTTCATGTCAAAAAACTTAGTGGAGTCCCTTTAAAAACAGTGTTTTACAACAAAATGTGATTCAGAGAGAAAAGGATAAGCAATTGAAATAGACATGAGAGATACCTTATTTGATATAAATATTTCTCACAGTGTTTGGTACAGTTTATGCAGCACAGTTAACACACATTTGGTTAGCTTTTTGTCTTTTCGCAGCATTTCCTCTTAAAGTTCTACATTCATCAAAATGACTAAAAGTTGCTTAAGATAAATATTCAGCTTATAATTGTCTTTGTGTACGGTATATTACTAGTTCTAAAGATTTAATATAAGTTATATGGCTTTGTATACACAGTTGATTGGTTATATAACCTAACCTGCTATGCATGGGTTATATAGCAAAAAGCCATTTATATGCTGCCACATAATCTGCAGGAAGCCTTTATAAAGAATTTATAATGCTTCAAAATTGCTTTCATTTGATGAAAATAAAAATTAATTAACAAAGCAGCACCAGTGTATATAGGTGATATTAATGTTATGATTATCCAATGAAATTTGATGTTACAAATAACAAACATAAGGTGTTATAATGAAAGTTTAAAAGGATGACATATCAGAATAGAGAAGTGTTTTAATTAAATAAAGTATATTTGAAAGACCCTGTGTAAAAACATATGAACTTAAGAACAAACTATGTGTAAAATTATGATCTTTGCCCCTTAAATAATTTTGCCCTTTTTGTGGAGAATAAAGAAATTTTATGAAAATATTGCTATTCATTTACAGATGTTGCACATGTCATTTTTGCATTTTATTAACACATCTTGTTACGATTTAAAATATCCATTTTTTCTTAATCTTTGTTTATTCGTAAAAATGCAATATATATGTTATGTTATTCTGTAAATTTTACTTCATATGTAGCAATGTGTATTCAGTACTGCTGCTAAAATTGGTATTTATAGAACTGAGATTTTACTTTATATTATATTATAGTCTTTTATACTTTTTACAATAACAATGAAATAAACTTTTGTTGATTAGAGAAAAATTTGTGTTTTAGTCATTTTCATGAATCAAGATGCATTTAAATAGAATTATCATAGGGGTATCTTAATCTGGAGCTTGTATTTGACTCGAGTGGATCTTACGAAGATAGGATCACACAAAGCTCTGTTGTAGATCCATGAGAGCCAAATGCTATTAAGATTTTCCAAGTACATGTAGAACCCTTTTATTACATACCTTGTCGAATTTAAACAACGTTTTCAACTTTAAATGTAATTGGTGTAACTCAACCAACATCATTCTAGATCACACTGGTATGTAATACTGGTTTTTTTCTGTCGGGTCGTATTTCTGTATACATATATTAATTGAATATAGAAAAATGTGTACAAGTCTATAATAAACATAGCTATTCTAGCAGTAACAATATGTGTACAAGTATGATAAAACCTACAAAATAATGTAAATCAATACAAAAACAAATGACTAGAATTGTATAAACAATAAAAGGAGGAAAGAGGGTCACAATGTCTTGGAAGGGGAACTTTAAACCGCTTTAACATGTACAGAACTACTGCTTAAATATGTAGGGAATCTGTGCCTTCTCATTATATTCTTAAATACTAAGTATGTGATAATAAATGTTTTGCCCGCTTCGTGAATCTTTTACGTCCATTGTCAAAGGGACAATACTGATACAGAAATGAATGAAATAATAATTTGCATTACTTCCCCTTTACTGGTTCACTAACGTAAATACTGCCGTTTCAAACCAGGTGAGGTGAATGTTCGCATGCATGTGTGTTCTAACCCCTTGCCTCACACCGCTGTAGGTTTGAGCCGCGCCAGCGTCTTTTTTCACGTGAGCAGGCTATCCGGCTAGCTTACGGAACGTCGCTGGTCCTATTCGGGGGCACGTTAATGCCTGAAGTGGAAAGTCGCGACAAGACCTTTACTGTGTTGGTGCGACATAAAAATAAATAAATAAAAAAAACTCTACTCATTGATATTAGATTTTGTTGGGTTTTAAAGAATGAAGCGCCGATACATAACTTCTTTTTATCATTTGTCTCTCTTAAAAGAACAAAATTTGCAAGTCTTCATTTACGAAGAGGATTATGTATCAGGCACTTCCGTTTACTGCATTTACAAACAGGGCGGATTTGTTTATTTAGATGATTATATCCGTTGTTCTTATCAGAATATGCTCAGCAGTTTTACAATAATATTTCTCCTATCATGTTTATATATTCAATAATCGAACTACTTATATTGTTGATAAGAAAGATAGAACCGGGATGTTTGTGTAAACATCCAGGGAGAATTGCAGTGTTCAAAACAAACTGACAATACAACAATATTTTGGAGCTTCTTTTCGTTATGAGCGTTATACATGTAGATAAAAATATTCATATCTTAGCGTGATGCATTTGTTCAACAGTAACGAATCGACAAATAATGAGTGAGATTTTTCATGTTCAGAAATATCGCAATTTTAGATCAGGTTTCCAGCAAGCACTCATTTCTTTATAAGCTCTTGGAACAATTTGATTTCCATAACTACACAGGCAGTGCTAGTTTATTAGCATAAACTATAATTAACCAACTAATTCAGTATTGACATTCCTTGACAATTCGCAGCTACATATAACTTATATATGACAGATATGTTAGTTTTAATGACTTTCATAATTATATAACAACAACGTCATACATTTACACGTAGATCTGCAGAATTTCTTAAAGGCACATTATGCCTCAGAAATTAATAATTTTATTATTCTTTAGAAAGTTCAATCATGTGTTTAACAATTTAAAAATAATGGATTTTGAGCATGTTATATAATAAATAACTAAAAGAAGTAGCGTAGAACTTACAGTTATATGTCATATACATAGTTTAAATGTAAACGAAGTTAAATGTAGTAATTTGACTTCCATACAAAATACTAATTCTCTATAATTATACCAATAACCAAAGAGCAAAACAAGCAAAAGATATTTCATCTATTTAAAACAGAGTAGCTTTTTGGAAACGGTAACAAGATACCAAACATAAAAAGTTTTAGATAAATAAAAATTACAGCATTTCGGGGGCTTAATGGGCGTTTAAGGTGACTTGCCCAGCTCCCAGTTTTGGCACGTAAATTATCAATTTTAGAGAAATCATGATTAAAATTGGGTGGTATTGAGCCTGATCAGTTTAAAGGCAAATCACTTTTGGTTTCAGTCAGTTTAGGATAAGAAAAAGCAAGGAAACTTTGAAGATTATTTTATTATATACATTAATGATACTTAAAAATAAAACAATTATGTATTTTAAAATATTTTTTCTTACTCACGCTGAAAGATTTTTTTTGTATTATTGTTATTCTATAACAATGGTAAGATGTGGCTTATAAGTATGGTAGTCAGATTCTGTAACAATACCTTAGCAATATGAAAAACGTCCTTTCACATTTCAAAGTACACTTTAGACAATGAATGTTCTAATTAAAAGATGACCAAAATTCATTAATGAAGCTTCACTGAGGTCCAAAGGCCATGACATTGAAAACCTAATTCTTACAAAGATCAACTGGGGCACTTAAAACAGAAACAAATATACAATAAATAATTAAGAAATATACTCAGAATTAAATTTAAAATGTGTTTTTTGTTCGATGCTTAGCCTGATTCTGATTTTTGAGTCCTGTAGCAGGATGAAAATTATTATTCTTGAAAAACTGCGTGGGCGGATGTTCTAAAATTATGCAGGCCAGTGATTGAGTGAGTGAGTGAATGAGTGAGTGAGTGAGTGAGTTGGTGAGTGAGTGAGTGAGTGAGTGAGTGAGTGAGTGAGTGAGTGAGTGAGTGAGTGAGTGAGTGAGTGAGTGAGTGAGTGAGTGAGTGAGTGAGTGAGTGAGTGAGTGAGTGAGTGAGTGAGTGAGTGAGTGAGTGAGTGAGTGAGTGAGAGAGTGCGTGAGTGCACGTTTTCCTACATTTGTTTTTGGTGATCTCAAAGTCAAAAGAACTTTTAGTGATACAAATAATGGTAATCTTTTATTTTCACCGATATTTTAGTACTTCTGATTTAACAATACATTTTATTTAGATGGTTTAGATAAAAACAAATGCAAAACAGAGCTGTTTCAGTTCAGATCTTACAAATGCTTTAATCAGAAAGATGTTAATATAAGTGAAACCGTCAGCTGCCTCCGCGTGTCTATCATTCTACAGGTAAAGTAGATAAGCCTTATATTTCTCTTTTCTCTTGTCTTAATTTACTATCATAATTACTATAGGTAAATATAACAATACAGAAAATGTTTGTTTGATGAAAGTCATAGATCAAATCTCACAGAAAAAGGGTGGAATGCATTCAATAGAGGGTTTGGAAGATAGTACATGTTAAGTATTACAATCATTAACACATGCTTTTATTTTAGCATGTTTTATAGACACTATCAATAACATGAAGAAACTTACCGACAGAGTTTGTTCACTATTACCATCTACGTAATCTGTTATCAAACGTGTATTTATAATCTATGAGTGCATTCAAAAAGCTGCGTTATTTTGTCATAAATTACACCCGAGTAAAACAGTAAAATTATAATCGCTTTATTGCCGAATTGATAAAATTTTCGTCGCAATGAAGAAGTATGAAAAGTCCTGTGAATTGTCGTTTCTCGGTATCACGTCACCTATAAGTTTTATCAGTTTTTAATCTGCCGAATTTCCTTTAAACTGAAATGTCCGGCTAGCATTTTTGAAGTGTACAATATCAACCAACTTAGAGAAATTGAGATGAAAGTTTGAAGTTTGTCAGCCAACAGTATATAGAGCCTGGTCAATTGCCCGGATGTTAAGGCTGGCCTGGTTCCATAGTGGTGGCAAAGGCTCATCACATTCTGCTCCAGCAGATGACTGAATGTGCTCCTAAGTATTGATTCAACTAATACAATTTCCTTAACACTGCAGGTAATTCATTGTTTTAT